AATTTCATGTTTCTAGGTTAAATTTTATAGAAAACTCAAAAAGTACCAGTCGAAGGACGAAAAAGTACCAAAAAGTCCCCTTTTATAGATTCTCATTTACTCCGGGCTCTACATGCTTAATTTCATGTTTCTAGGTTAAATTTTATAGAAAACTCAAAAAGTACCAGTCGAAAGACGAAAAAGTACCAAAAAGTTCCCTTTTATAGATTCTCATTTACTAAGGGCTCTACATGCTTAATTTCATGTTTCTAGGTTAAATTTTATAGAAAACTCAAAAAGTACCAGTCGAAGGACGAAAAAGTACCAAAAAGTCCCCTTTTATAGATTCTCATTTACTAAGGGCTCTACATGCTTAATTTCATGTTTCTAGGTTAAATTTTATAGGAAACTCAAAAAGTACCAGTCGAAGGACGAAAAAGTACCAAAAAGTCCCCTTTTATAGATTCTCATTTACTAAGGGCTCTACATGCTTAATTTCATGTTTCTAGGTTAAATTTTATAGAAAACTCAAAAAGTACCAGTCGAAAGACGAAAAAGTACCAAATAGTCCCCTTTTATAGATTCTCATTTACTAAGGGCTCTACATGCTTAATTTTATGTTTCTAGGTTAAATTTTATAGAAAACTCAAAAAGTACCAGTCGAAGGACGAAAAAGTACCAAAAAGTCCCCTTTTATAGATTCTCATTTACTCCGGGCTCTACATGCTTAATTTCATGTTTCTAGGTTAAATTTTATAGAAAACTCAAAAAGCACCAGTCGAAGGACGAAAAAGTACCAAAAAGTCCCCTTTTATAGATTCTCATTAACTAAGGCCTCCGCATGCTTAATTTCATGTTTCTAGGTTAAATTTTAAAGAAAACTCAAAAAAGTACCTGTGTAGAACGAAAAAGTAGCGAAAAGTCCCTTTATTATTAATTTCATGTTTCTATTTCAATATCATAGAAAACTCAAAAAGGACCAGTTGGAGAATGAAAAGTACCAAAAAATATCACTTGATACCGGGGTTCCAAATAATACCCCATTAGGATATTTAGTGTTTCTAAATTTAAAAATTTTATCTAAATTGGATCATTGTGGTTGAATAAAATCAAATTTCCCGTTTTTACCCCTTTTGGTACTTTTTTCCTCCCCATTAACGAAATAAAAATTCTATTCCAAAAAGTTGCAACATCGTAGTTGTTATGTATTCATATGTATAAGTTAATAAACCAAAAACAATGTTTTATGAAAAAAGTACCAAAAATAGGTACAATTTTAACCCCTTAAACGTCCGAATATCCAAAAAGTACTAAATTCATATTTTTATTTTTTCGTTAAGTTATGAAGGAGTCAAAAATATTTTTTGAATGTGCACTGGTTTAAAAGATACATGGGGTGCGAAAAAAGTACCAAAATACAGTTTTTACCCGTTTATTCCCTAAAGGGGCCGAATTTTAAAAAAGTACCAGACACCTGTCCGTTTATTTTTTAAATGAACGGCGATAAGCTTTAAACTGTTTTTGTATCTTTTCTAGTTTAGGAGATATAAGGTTACCGAATTTACCCGTTTTTACCCTTTTTTACCCCCTAAACATTCGAATTTCCAAAAATCCCGTCTTAGTGGATCTATTTGGCGGGAGACCAACCTCCTGTCCAAATTTCAGCTCTTTAGCTTCAACCGTTTAGGCTGTGCGATGATGAATCAGTCAGTGAATCAGTCAGTCAGTAACGTTAGAATTTTATATATATAGATGTTATAAACTGATGAAGTTGAAACGGATATTTAATATTTTAAAGGTATGTATTTCTCGCATCAATAAATATGGTTTGTAGATTCGGGTTTACAAAAGTCTTTTTCTATGCGCACTTACAAAGCCTAATGGGGCCAAATCGAAAAGTTTAGTAATAAATCTGACATTTCTTAACATCTGGTAATATCGGAATATAACTTGTCGGGATATAAATGACTGTGCTCGGAATCAGACGAATGTAGAGCATGTAATATATTCGTCTGAATCCGCACGTCCAATTTTGTATAGTTGTGTCCGTAATCCTGTGTGCCCATTCAGAATACGTATCATATTAACCACAGACTTGATAATTTTGAGGAGGATTCCGGTCCTGCTCTCGTTACGGTCCCCCATGGGATATTTGTGGTTCTGCCCACCGTTTCAATATTCCAAGAGAGAGTTTCTCTGACTCATATTTTTAATTCTGCTCTTGTTGTGTCAAATGATGGTACCCATATGATGTAGAGTATCCAGTCAGGGCTTTCTTAAAATCCTATATATATATAGATTTAACTTCATCATCTGATATCGCCCTAAATATATCAAAAGTACATAAACGAAATTTTCCATATAATGCTGTAAGTTGTTGTTGTTTTTTATTTTTGTCAAAGCACACACAAAATTTCTCATTTTTTGATGACATTTTCAGATGTTCTTTCCGATTTTTCCTCATATCTCCGTTATTTGTACACCGATTTTAAATAAAGATCTTTTCGAAAGTACGTGTAATAGAATTATTGAAGATTCGCTGATATCTGGCGTTTTCTGTAAACCGATTTTAACATACACACATATAGTACATCTGCACATGGCTATGTACAAGACTCCGCTAACTTAAGGACTCAGAAAATTATATTGTAGAACTTACAAACGGAGTGATAAACTTATATAAACCCTTCTCATGAAGGTGACGAGTATGTGAAGAAGTTACAAGGAGAGAATAAAGAAGAGAACAAAAGTAACTGAGAAGGAGAGTGACTGAGAAATAAAAACTGATGATAGAGTTAGAAGAAGAGTACAATGTCCATGTTAAGAATACAATGTGACACTTCAATTGAACATTTGATACACCAGATAGATTAGAATAATAGGCCCTATTCAATGTCAGTTCATAGTCCATTCCCAGAGCAGGATATTTTCAAGCAAGATATACTAACTTTAACCAATCAACTGTCCTCTAAATCGTTGGTATTTCAGACCTTGGTCCACCACTAATTCAGTTTAAAATTTTGGACCTATCTGTATCTTCTTTTAAAACAATGACGTTTTAGGTGCTAGAGTGAATTTTTTCGGGAATAATAATTCTATCCTTTGGGATAGAATTTCAAGGTTATTATCAGCTACCGATATATCAACGTCATAAGCGAAGGCAGTCATTTTGAAACCAAGAGAGCCTACTTTGGCAAGAAGTCTAATGATTGATCTTGATGTGATTGCAATCCCTGGGAAAAGATGAGCTACCAATACAAGTAGTCAGCCGGGACTATAAACTGGTGATAACCAAATGTATCCTCGACCTTTCCTTGGAATGATTTGACATGGGGTCGAACAATAGAACCACATAATCTGGTACTAAGGGTGGCCAGTTGCCCGCAGGACTTTGTCCTGGCTGATCAGTTGGTTGAGGTTTCTTCGGGATGGATGTAGTGGCTGTGATTTAAACCCAAATTCGCGGGAAGAGAATGAGATTAAAAGACTGATGCACGATGAAATCTATATTTCGGGATAAGTCCGGTGCTGTTGCCGAAGTCAATTGATACCCCACAAAGGGGTGACTGCGGGACTAAGTGTTGGAAATTAGTCAGTGTTAAATGTATATGATGAGTTAGAACAAAGTTTCCATCTTATTTGATAGATTCGTGTTTCAGCCTACCGAATAGATCTCTAGGTGCTGTTGCCGACTCAACAGAGGCCATCCCATCTGCATCTGGGAAGTTAAGTTATGGGGCAGCAATGGTCAGAGATTGGATAGCTCGAGGACTTAAGCAAAATTTTTGTACATGGACCGGCACAGCCATGTATGAAAATTTCCACCAACAATGGGGCGGTGGTGAGTCGTCACAACAGCACACCCTGTGAAAAAGACCACCGTGAAATAAGGCCAACACGACGGGTGTTCACATAAAGCACTTCGACATTCCATCTTGAGAAGTTTCTCTATGCACCCTTTAGGAGAAATTTGGAAAATTTGTAAGTACCTAGACTAGGACTAGGAAAATGGCACGCTCTAAAAAACAACGAAGGTGCCTACATTCATTCAAAAGACTGATAAATCAGATATTTGTTCGACAAGAATCATACATATCAAAGATTTGAATTCGTAAACTTGTGCAAGCTTAATAAAAATCACAAACAGAAATCAAATGCTTTAATTGCTTTAAATAAAATCAAAGTTATCTCAACCAATCACTTTGTATACACAATTTAATTTTATCGCGTGCCCAAATCCTTTGTATAATCAACTGAATTAAAACTAAAAATGTCTTAAATCAAGTGCATTTAAGTTTAAAAATTCAGTGATTTATAGAACTTTTTGTGTGTGAATGAGGGTTTTCTTTAATGGCAAATGCAATTTTGGTAGGTAAAGCAATTTCTTTGTTGTTGACAAGATTCCAAAAAAAAATTTTGCAGTGAGCAAAAATATTTGTTGGCAAGTGAATAAAGTGTAAGAAAAAAATCAGCAGACTAAATTACAACATGCGACGCACGACGGAAAAAACCCTGATTCCGTCTGACAGTGTCGGCGTCAAAAACTGGCGACATTGATGATAAACTCGTGTTTCTATTTCAGAAGACATTTCGTCTATTAAATGCTCATGTAATTTTAGTTTTTATCGTAATTTTTTTTATTCAAATGAAGAAAATATAAAGTAAGAAAAATGTATATAAAATCTAGTTCTAGTTTTCTTAAAAGATAAAAATTTAATGTTTTTAAGTGTAAAAAGGAAATTGTCTATTATTATTTATTTAGTTTTTGTTTAGGTTTCAAGTATTTTACATTTTCTTACAATGACAAGTGTATTTTTCTTGGGTAAATTTATACACAAGGTGCTAAATTGTTCAAGTCAATTTGCATTTTATTTTAAATTAACCTTGAGCCAATTACTGCAAAGACATTTTCATTTGTAAATTGTTTACGAGTATTTTAAGATTTATTTTTATTCTCGCTTTTCTCTGCTTTTTTCTTAAATAAGTTGTAATTTGTTGTAATTTTTTTCACTTATTTGCAGCTAAAGTGAAATGTTGCCAACGGGCTTAAGTTGTATGTGCCACATGCTGTAGAGGTGACATGTAACATGATTTTAGCGTGGCACAGTAGCAGTACTTAGCGCCGCCGCTGCCACAAAATAACAGTGTCACTGTCACACAACCAACACCAACTGACAGCCAGAGCGCATCACCGCCCCAAGTGTGCCCAATGTAAATCAAAGTTCCTACATTTTAAATTAAGCATCAACAACGACAACAAAAATAAAAGAAAATCTCAAAACAAACAAAAAATCAAACAGAAATAAATAAAAGAGTTGTAGTTTATTCCATCCATGTAGAAGAATATATAAATGTAAAGGAAGAAGCAATAAAAAATCATTACCATCTTCCTCGTCTGTATCAGCTACAACAGCTCAACTATTACAGCAACAACGACAACATCATCATCATGTCTCTGTTGTATTTACCAAAGTATTAAATGAGGGATTATTTGTTGCAACTTTAATTCTACAGTTGTTGACTGTTGTATAACAGCAGTTGATGCGGTTGTTGTTGCTGCATGCTGCCGCTCTGTGTGTTGTTAAGCGCAATGATATTCCATGAACAACAAGCGGAAATGCTTGTTGTATCAAAGTCAAAAGAATCAGAAAAAATCCCTACTTCCACAAAAAACATTCCCAATGAAAATTTAACGAATTTACCGAATCTGTTGCCATCATCAGCCTTAACAACAGCAACAAGATCACAACAACAAATAGCAGCAATTCAAACATTTAAGAAGCCAAATCTAGATGCTGCCGTTGTATTGAATGTAAAATGTCATTGTGATATTGAAAATGCTCGTTGTTCATCATCGAATTCGTACGGATTTTATCATCATCATTGCATGAATTCAGCGTATTTTTATGAATTGCCAACAAAGTTCGCATTGTTGCCAAGTGTGATTAGTGGCAGTGGTTGTGGCACTAATACCGTTGGAGTTGGCGCAAGTAGTGAATGTAATGAGAAACAACTTTATTTGGCCGATAGAAAACGTAGCTGGCCTCCGCCAGTATTTATTGTTTTCATATCACTGTTGGAGGTAAGAAATGAATGGCGCAATGTTTCCAATTTTAATTTAAGATCTTAAATGAATTCTTGGAAAATATTAGAATTTTAAATACTAAACTTTTAAACAGATAGTGCTTTACTGTGACCACTAGAGCGTTTTGGAAAGAGTAGATCATTTGAATTCCATTCGATATCGTATAGATTGTAATTTTGTAAAATAGTTTCTTTCTCATGGAGTAAATAATAATGAAATTTGAGAAGACATATCTGAAGATTTTATTCTCAGATTCTTCTCAATATGTACACATGTCGTAGATTTTATAGTAAAGGCACTTGCCAATATTACGGAGACGAAGCTTATCGGTTAAAATGACCGAGCCCTTGTTGAATTTCTGATTCGGAAGATCGTGCTAATGTATGTGGTATTCAAGTTCCATGACTAATACGATCATGTCTAATAATTTATGTGCAATTATATCACAATTTGCAACGTCAGCCTATATTATTAACTCTTTCAAGTATATGGGAGATTGGTGTCTCAAGATTTAGTTTAGGTTGATAGGAGGATGTATACTACATCATCCGAAGAAATACACCTAGGCCACTATAGGGCCTGTTGTGCGCTCCTTATCATAAAAAAGGGAACTAAATTAATTATTTTTCAGTGTTCAGAAACTCAGTTTCCTGAACGTAATTCCTAAGAATCTTCCAATCAGTGTTAATCAGGAATGTTATTTCCGGAATAACATCACTTCCAAGATACTTGGATCTAACTTCGACGAATGCCTGGCGAATGGCAAAAAAAGGGCTCCAGAGTTTCACTGTCCTCTCCACATGCTCTACATTCGTTTGAATCCGCATGTCCAACTATGAATAGACGTGCTCGTAATCCTGTGTGTCCACTCAGAATACGTACCATCATACCAACTTTAGACTTGCTCATTTTGAGGAGATTTTTCGTCTTGCTCCCATCAGGGTCACCCCATAGGATCTCCGTGGTTCTACTCACTGTTTCATTATTCCAAGAGACCTTATGGGATTCTCTCACCCATATTTTTAGTTCAGCTTTTGTTGCGTCGAATGGTTTTGCGTTTGTCAGGTTACCTGCCTCGAGCTCCCATCTCTTTAAAGCTATTACATTCGCCCTTTCGTTACCGACTACTCCCGAGTGGGCTGGTACCCATATGATGTAAACCTTACCTCTGGAAGAGTATTCAGTTAAAGCTCCCAAGATGTCCCAAGATCTATTTCTGAATTTTGCTCAATGTAGAGCGTAGTTTTGATCTCACGCCTCAAATAAATGTCTCATTCGAAAGAAAAATAAGTCCAATGGTTAACTTTTCTGCGCGAAAGGATTCATCATGGAAAGTTATAAGAACTTAAATAGTGATCAATGAATATATTATCGTCCGATGTTAAGAAACTCTGTTTCCTGGACGTATTTTCTAAGAATTTTCCATGTGTTTCAGTTTTCCTAAGTGATGTCATATCCCAAATAATATCAATCACATGATATTTGAATCTTATTTCGAAGAAATCCAGACAATGGCAATAAAAGTTCTCCAGAGTTTTACAAGCTCTACATTCGTCAGAATCCGCACATCTAATTTTCCCTATAATGCACATAAATTTGCTCTTTTTTGCCGACTACTCCCGAGTGGTCTGGTACTCATATGATACAAAGCTTACCTCTGTGAGAGTATTCAGATAAAGCTTTCTTATCATCCAATACGGTCTTAGATTAAACTTTATCATCTGATATCGCCCTAATTGTCTTCTGGCCATCGATAAATATGTTAAGCCCTAAGGGCGCCATATTTATTCTAATCCAATTTCGGACTTATGCCTGGAAGCTTTTGTTTCTGTGTCTTCAATCTAGATTCCCAGGCCCACTTTGTCCCCCAATTTAGAGATCTAATGTTCCACTTCATATCTTATATATGTTTTAATGGGTTGTAAATCTAGCAATGTTTCCAAAGCCTTGGTTGACTAATGCTCATGCACCATTTATACCCAAGAAAAAAGATACGCTTATTAAATCTCTGTGGTGGTTTGATATTATACTTTTTGTCCAAGAATTCAACCAGATTATTGAAGCATAAGTTAGACCAAGGCCCCATTTCATGCCTATGGTTCTTCTACAAGCGCCCAGCATCGATGTGCATTGTTGATCCAATCCTCTATGTGCTGCCTCCACTTTAATTTCCGGCCAATGATTACACCTAAGTACTTAACTCTATCGATCACCCGCAACTTCTTGGACAAAAAATAGGGTTCAATAAAAATATAAATTTTTGTCTTGCTTGTGAAACGATTCCTTCTTCGCCGGGTTAACATTATGGCCTCTCGATTGAGCCCCGCTTAAGGCCCCATTCAGATCTTCTTAAGCCGGCTTACGCAAGTAATCCCTTCCCCTTAGAAGTATTACTACATCGTCTACACAGCAGACAGATCATTCTCGCTTAGACTTCTTAGGAGGCTCTGAATCTTAGTCACCCAAAGTAAAGAAGACAAAATACCACCCTGTGGTGTACCGCGAAGTACCCTTTTGCTAATAGTTTTTCTTAGTTGATCCAGTTACGGAGCACCCGGTTAACATAAAACAGGTCTAAAGATTGGATAAGAGTATCAGTGTGGTCATGTATACAATTTGATATCGAAGGATTCGCCTATATAGTGAACAACTTCGTATAACGGCGGTTTCCACTAGTCCCTTTACATTAGTATTTTGCTTTTAATTGAGATCTTTGTTTGGTATACTGGTTCAAACCATGCTATCGACTGTCCGTTCCAAAGTTTTAAGTAGGAAGAACGTTATCGGTCGATAGACTTTGATGTTGCATAACAAAGTCTTCCGGGTTTGGAGATAAATATTACCCTTACATCCAGCTATTTAATTAACTCTTCAAAATGTATTTCATAATTAAACATTCTGTTTAATGAAAATATCAGCAGAATGGTACTAAATATGGTCCCTCGAAGTAATATGTAACACATTGCAAAAATAATCGAAATTCTATTGCATTAGTTTTGTTACTAATGAACGTCAGACATAATTATGTATTATATTAACCGACACACATGTTAAATTATTCGTACATCAAAAAAATATGCAAAAATATATAAGACAAGAAAAAATCCTTAACAATTGTCCAAATGACCACTAAAATATCATTAAGAAAACAAGCAGTTATCATCCATCCAGCCAACTTACAAACCACACTGCCAGTGAGTTAAGCAAACATTTTAACAACCACTTGGGTGGCTTAAAAAGGGAATCACTCCAAAACAAAAAAAATAGTCTCATTTAGTGTTGGATCAGACGCCGCCACCACTAACAAAAACTTAACCGAAAACGCACTACTTATTCGCAAACATGTGCTTCATTTAGTTTTGTGTGTGTGTAGAAAAGTATGCTTGCAAAAACATGATCTACATCATCATTTGGAAACACATGTATGAATGTCCCAAAAAAATCAAAAAATATGTTGGCATTCTACGTACGAACTTAAATAAGTACGAGTTCAATAAAATGACATGTGGGAGCTTTTATATATAATTTTTTTCTGCAGGTTCAATGAATTCTGAAAGTTACGAAAAAAAATATATAAATGAGGGAAAACATGTTTTAAAAAAGTTTGTCTTGGACAGACTTGAATAAATTAGGTTACATTTCTACACAGCACTACAAGCGCCTTCTTACAGAAAAAATATTGTTTAAAATCAATATGACGTTGTTGAATAAATCGACCACACTTTACTTGAACTTCAAAAAAAAAGTTTTTTTTTTGTTTGCTGTAGAACTATGTATGTTGTGGGCTTTTAACGCCACTATGGCAACACTTTGATTTGAACAAGTGGAATAATGAAGTCATACAGACATTAAAATCGAAACGTGGGTGGTAAACTGAAGTTTACCCCCTTATTTATGAGGAGCCAACTACTGAAATATTTAACTATGAGCGAAATATAAAATAACTTATGTATTGAACATTTTCAAATAAATAAAAACGTAGTTAATGTTTATATTTATGTATTATTCTAGAATCCAAATATTAATATGAGTGTATTTAATAAAAATGTTTCTATTATTATTTTAATCACGTTTAAATGAAAGTTCCATACTTATACTACTTCAACCCTCTCCTACCCTTTTCTATGACAGGGTGACATGTGCATGTTTCAACATACATACATATGTATGTAAGTCCAAGTGAAAATTATCATCAGGTTTTGTTGATTTTGTCAAAATCTACAGTGTGAATGAAATATGTTTAAACGGGAGTAGAATTATGCGTTTTTAAGAGTTTGGTATATAAATTGTCTACTCAGAGTAAGTAAACTCAATTCGATTAATTTCATTCGTGGAACAATTTGAACTCATAAGCAAAGTTGATATCAACAAATTTAAACCTTCTTTTACTGGAATTTATGTGAAGACGTAAACCGAGAACCAATTCTGTTCATTTATTTTAGACACTGCTCGTGTAAAGAATGAAATCAAATAGAAATTACATACATATATCGATTGCTCTTCAGCTAAATAATTTACGCAGTAACTACGTACTTAGTAAAAGGTTTTTCATTAAGAAATTTTTTGACATTTCTTGAGTAGAAAACCTCGAAGAGCTTTACCATGTACAAGCTCTCGAGCTATCTTATCTCTTACTATCGTTACCTCATTGCTTAACTTCGGAGATGCTCTAAAAGCATGATTTTCATTTACAACTACGCAGATGGAATAGTCTCTTTTGATTCAGTACAGTCAGATTAAATCCTGAACATTTATTACCATTCAACCCAGTACACATCTCATTCATCCGACACGTCCAAAGAGAAAAACATTCAATACACTCACTTTAGAAATACGGCTACCTCTTGTTTAGTTCTATATCTTATTTACTCACAGTCACTCCTCTTAGGGGTATATGTTGCCTTTTTCGGCAACAGCACCGAATTCATCCCGAAATATTGATTTCACAATACCCCTGCGATCCACCGGTTCCTGTGGTATCAGATAAGATAGATTCT